GCCCCGCCCTGCCCCATCAGTGATGGGCCCAGGTCCAGGTCCCAGCTGCCTGCACCTGCCCAAGTCTGCTGCATTACAGGGTCGTGGCCAGCTCCTCATTGCCAGGTCCATTCTGCAAACAGGCGTTGGGTGCTGGGATGATGAGATAGAGCCCCTGTCCCCCCTCCCTGGGAGGTCCCAGTGCCCGGGAGTGATCTTGGAGGAGAAGACACAGCCTCCCTGCTCCTCCGTGGTGCACAGGCCGGGGACCGCAATGCCTTGGCATCTAGGACCTCGCCTGCTCTCTGCTACTCGGGAAGTCAGGAGGGTGCAGGCTCCTGGCCAGATCCTTCCGGCAGGGTGGATCCTGCGAGCGGATAGGCTGATCTGGCCAGGAGCTGGGCTCCTGGGGTCCCTGTACCCTGAGCAGCCCCTCGGAGCCAGCCTGAGATCACGTAGGAGGCTGCTGCCCAGGGGTCCAGGAGAAGTCTGTGGCCCCAAGCTTACCACCCCCTCCTGGCAGTCGTGTCTGCTCTGCGTGGAGGGCGCATCTTGCTGACCCCCGCAGGGTGGCTCAAGGTCAGGGTCAAGGTCAGGCTCCACATGTGCCCGCTGGTCAGCCTGGTCCCCGTACAGTGTCCCCATCCCCCCACCCTCGCTCCCACAGCCCTCAGACCAGCTGAAGCACGTGGCCCCGGGGCCCCCTCACACCGTTATCCCCCAGCACACTTACTAATTTTGATGGGGGGCTCTCGCAATAAGGGGGTGCTGTGGCTGTAAGATGTGCCAGCATCTCCAGAGTCTGGAAGGGAGGTTCTTCTGCCCAGAGGAGTGGACAGAGCTGGAAGGGACTGGGTGTGGGGCGGGGTGAAAGGGCGCTGGACCAGGCTGTCCCAGCCCGAGCGCGGCTGGCTCTCCGAGGGGCCCAAGTCCGGGGCTGGGGGCAGGGAAGCTGGGCTCACAGTTCGTTATCGGGCCATTTGTCCCGATGGGTCAGGCGACAAGCTGTTCAGCCCATTGTGTATGAGGCACAGACTGGGACCAGGGAGTCTGTTTCTGGCCTTGTCCTGAGTGAACAAAGGGGGGCCATCGAGTTGTGTCTGCGTCACACAGGGGAGGGGCTCTCTGCAGAACGTGTTTTCTGGAACACACAGGTGGGGGGTTCTTATCGTGGCTGTTTCCAGGAGCCCCGCCTGAGCTTCTGTTCAAGACGAATGAAATTTATTTGTCAGAGGGGTCATGGATCTCGGGGGGCTCAAGGAACTGAGGGGGGACGGTCTGCTGCGGACGTGGGGCTGGCTTTGCTCCTGCAAGGTCTCTGAACCATGTGCTGAGAGGTGGGTGAAGGTCAGCAGTCTGAGCATCAGGCTTTTTAAATAGCGGGAGGCCAGAAATGAAACAGGGGTGTCCGTGTGGAAGGTTCCGTCAACTGCCGTCAATGAATGCAAACCCCCCGATACGTGAGCTTCCAGAAGCTGAGGTGCTGGTGCTGTTGGCGGCACTGTCCAGTGTGGGTCACCCGAGTAAGGCCCCCCTCCTCTGCGGCTTCACCCACGCCGAATGCCCTGGGAATCGGAGCATGAGCAAACGCCCCATGTATCTCAGCTCACACCGGTGGACCGGGTTATCACTGCTCCTGGTCGTCTCTGCTCGGCCAGCCAGGAGTGGACAGGAGCCCCTGGCAGCGGCCCACCTGGCTCCATCTGTCGCCTCTGGACAGAGGCCTGTGCGTGCTCCTGGCGGGTGTTGCTGATGTGGCTGAGGGGACGGCAGGGCCTGGGCGGGGCACCCCAGCCCGAGACGGCCAGGTCAGTGGCGGCTCCAGGCAGCCATCCTCAGCCACAGCACTGACTGTGTTCCGAGGGCTGCTTGCTACAGACGCATCCTGCTCGGGTGGAGCCAGGCCCTGGGGGAAAGCGGTTTGTAAAGCTGGTCAGCGGCCACGGCGCCAGCGGGTTTGCCAGTGAGTCGGACGATTGCCTTGGCCACTGCATTGCAAAGGGGGCCTCCCCCAAAGCCTAGAATGAGAGCCGGACTGGGGACCCCATGTTCCATCACGGGCTGTCCCAGGTTATGGGGGTTGACGCTGCTCCACACAGGGAGCACCCAGTCCAGTAGCTGTGTGTTCACACCAAGGCCAGCGATTTCTAGCCGCTCCTGCCTCCACCCCCATCCCGGCGGGCAGCCCAGGGGGTACCGAGCTCATGTCCCAGCTCAGACACACCCCTCCCTCCCCTCTCCTTTGCTGAGGCTGTGTCCCTCTAGGCTGGACAGGGCCACAGGCCGAACTGCAGCAGCTGTGGCCCTCAGCTGCCCCTGCTCACGAGAAGGGGTATAGTGCGCACGCGTTAACCTGCACACGTAGGCCTCTGCACCGCGTGATCTCCCTGGGAGCGAAGCCCGCGGTCCCCACATTCTGACCAGGTGGTGTAATTGCCAGGGGTGCCCCATTACCAGTGGTGAGAGTGGTGGGGTCCAGTTGGGTCGTGGCCTGGGTCAGGTCAGCCAGAACTTGGGTGTGAGTGCTGGCTCCAACCTTTACCAGCCACTTGTCGTTGGGAGAGTCCCCTAACCTCTTGGTGACTTGGTTTCCCCGTCTGCCCTGTCTGTGAAGTGGGGCGCTACCAGGTGTGCTCACACAGTGTGGGGAGATTGAGTTCCCTTAGAAAGGCCCCTGTGAGGCCCTGAGTCCAAGGACACCCGAGGCCAGGCTCAGGGCCCCTCAGGCCAGCCTCACATGGGAGAGGCCTCTGTTCACAGCGGGCCTGGGCAGGCTCGGTGGCCAAGGTCAAGGTTGGTGTGTGGCCAGTCAGTGGCCAGCCTCTGACGGGGTCGGGGTGGGAACCTGGAAGTCTGTGGAAGTGGGGCCAGTCTGACCGAGGCCCAGCTGAGCCTGCAGCCTTCATCTTGTGACCTTGATCTCTCAGCCTTAGGGTGGAACCTAAGCTTGGTCTCCCCAGCTAGCGGCCTCACCCAGGGAAGTCTGTGGTGACGTGGTTCCCAGAAATGGGCCCAGGCCTGGGGCCTCCTGGTACCTACCCGTCTGCTGCCACCCCATGAAGCGAAGGCCTGCAGGCCCCACGCTCGCCACCGCCTTTGCAACCATGGGCCCCGTTCCCCAGCGCGGCCGCCCGCCCTGCACCGTGTTTAAGCCCACTAATTGAATTGCAATTGATAGTACATGTCAGTTTAAGATCGTGCTAATTGCTTCATTTCCCAGAACACTCCTAAAGAGAAAATGAATTTCCCTGTAATATTTTGCAGTGTGAAATGACCCCTGCGGAAATCAATCTAGGCTCCGGAATGAGCCTCAGAGTGTCCCCCCTATACCCACCCCCGGTCTCACAGGCGTGAAGGAGCCTTCCCTGGCTTGGGCTTAACCCGGGCCGCATGCCAGGCACCAAGGGAGGAAGGGTCAGTTCTGCCCAGGTGGTCAGTGAGGAAACGGGCTCCGAGGTGAGCGGCTTTGCCCAGGGTCCTGTGGCTGGCTAGTGGAGGAGCTGTCCTCTGCGGGGTGGCCATCAGGAAATGAGTGGGCTCTGAGTCAGTGGGCACAGGTGCTAGTCCCAGCTCTCCCCTTTCTGAGCGGCTCCTGAGGTCATAGACCCTCTAGAGCCCCCATAACCTCCACTGTCAGATGGGTGCCGTGACCTCCCCTCATGGGTGCTGCCAGGTGTGAAGGCGGTGGTGTGTGACATACCCCCAGCACAGTTCCAGGTGTGTGGTCTGTGAGTGATGTGGCCACGTCCCTCGTGAGCATCATTGCTACTTTGCTGAGCTAATGGAGTTAGGATGGAGTTGAGCAGCATGGAGGATGGCATGACATGCCAGGGTAGGAGATACCCCAAAGTCCTCCTGGTCCAAGTTTCTGCTCCTTACCCTGTTCACTAGCTTCATGAAGCTACTCAGTCTTTGGATAGCAGTGGGGCTACCATCCATCTGTGTATCCATCCACCCACCATCCATCCATCCACCCACCTACCTGTTCGTTCATCCAACCGTCCGTCTACCTATCCATCCATCCATCTGCCCACCCCCCCATTCATCTACCCATCCATCATTTATCCACCCATCCTCCATCCATCCATGCACTCACCCACCCACCCATCCATCCATCCACCCACCTACCTGTTCGTTCATCCAACCGTCCGTCTACCTATCCATCCATCCATCTGCCCACCCCCCCATTCATCTACCCATCCATCATTTATCCACCCATCCTCCATCCATCCATGCACTCACCCACCCACCCATCCATCCATCCACCCACCCACCATTCATCCATCTACCCATCGATTCATCCACCTATCCATCCACCCACTCACTCATTCATCCAGCCATCCATTTATCCACCTATCCATCTGTCCTTCTACCCACCCACCTACCCATCCATCCATCCGTGCATCCACCTACCAATCCATCCATCTTTCCATCCACCCACCATCCACCCATCCACTTATTCATGCAACCATCCATTCATCCACCTATCCATCCATCCGTAGTTCCATCCATCCATCCATCTATGCCACTCCTTCAGGATTTAATGAGCAGCACCTGTGTACTGGCCTGTGCTAGGTGCCGGTATACAGAGAGGGAAAGATAGGACCCTTTTGTCAAGGAGCCCCCAAGCGAATGTGGGAGTGAGGTGTCTATAGGACTAATGGGCCTGTAGGAGGTGCAGACAGAAAGCTCTGCTCTGGACAGCCTCTTCCCTCCTCTAGTCAGGCCTGCAGGACAATGTTGGGGACACCGCCCTGCACTAGACTGCTACCCTCCAGGAGCTGACCCTGGGTCCTCTGTACCCAGGGAGGGAGCTCATGGCCCTGCGATACTTGGAGAGTTTGGGGTTTGGCCTTGGAGTCAGGAGACAGTATTCAGATCCCAGCCTTGGCTCTGACTTGTGGGGTGACTGGGCTCATTCCTGGTTCTTGGTTCTCATTTAGCACTCCCTGATGGCCGTGCCCTTGACCTCTGCACCTGCAGTTCCCAGGCCCCTAACGGCTGCCATCTTGTTTCCACAGAGCGACTTGTTGGATGTGAATCAGATCATCAAGGACTTGTCCTCTGTGGTGTCAGAGCAAGGAGATGCCATCGGTAGGTACCCAGCCACCTGCTCCTTCCCTCCGGTGTGGGCAGATCTGCCTCTCAGATGGACGAGGCACAGGGCAGGTTCTGGAGTCTGAGCATCTGCTGCCCTTTCTCCCCACCTCCCCAGGTCTCCCCCAACCCCTCACGAAGGCCCAGACAGGGCAGGCTCGTCTAAGAGGGTGGCCCACCCATCCTGCTTATTTAGAGTCCTAGCCTCCATGCCCCCAACCCTGGGCCTTCCTCCCCACCCAAGGACCCCCAGGGTGAGGATAGGCTGTCTTGGGTGGGGGAGGGGTCGTGGCGGCAGTGGGTACCCCAGTGGAGAGCGCTGGAGATGTGGGGCCCAAGACGTCCAGCCACCTCAGAGTCCTGGTTCTGCCGCTGATGGTCCCCGTCCACTTCTCAGGAATCGCGTGTGTGGTGGGGGCAGGGCTGTGCTGGGAGGGGGCCGACGTCCCTGTGTTTCTGTGTTCCCTCCACATGAGGGCCTCAGCCCCACCTGGCCTAGCCTGTCCACACCTGGTGGCCATGTGGTCTTTCCTGCTGCTGCCCCCAGTGCCTGATACCCTGAGCAGGAGGGGGAGGAACTCTTGGTCCTTGGCCAGAAGAGCGAGGCCACGCCAGGTGCCCGGAGCCGCTTGGCTGACAGTCAGTTCCCAGTCCAGAACCACCTACCCTCCACCCCTGTTCCCTGGCCAGGCCGTTGCCTGCCTTGGGCCCCCTGGCTGCGCATGAGCATCCGCCTCTCTCAGGCCCGGGAGCATGGAGGTGCTAAGGTCCCTGCGTGTCCTGCCCCCGATGCCATGCTGCCCCCAGGGGAAGGAGCGACCCGATGGCCGGCCACGCCGCCCCCTGGGGCCGCCGCCCGGCAGACTCGTCCCTCGCTCTTCCTCAGATCCTGGGCTTCACGCCGCGCCCTGCTCCGCGGGCTGGACAGCTCTCCGCTGGGCCGCCCTGTCCCCCTCACGGCGCCCTCTCCACAGCACCCCACCCTGGCCGCCTGCTCCCGCCCCTCACCCCTGTTGGCCTCAGCATGGGTGACTGCAGCCGTTTCCGCCTCTGGCCGGCTGTCTCAGGGTGGGGTGTGCAGAATGATTTGTCCACTCCAGATGGACACCCAGATGTCACCCAGATGGTCACTCAGTCTCAGTGACGGGCTCATTGGGAGGGACGGTTTCCCAGGTGGGGAAGGGAGAGGGGCAGGTGAGGGCTGACCTGTGGCAACTGTGGTCAGGGTCTGGGGAGGGGGTGGGCACCTGGGGACCAGAGTGGCCATGACCCCAGGAGCCTACCACGTGTTGACGTGGATGTTCCTACAATGATGGATGACAGGCCAGGCCGCTGTACCCCTCTACAGGGTGCCTGGGGGCCTGGGGCCACTAGCCTGGTGGTGCCCTGCTCTACACGGTCCCGTCTCATTGCTCCCCAGCTGGCCATTGGCCCTGCTCGCCCCCTCAGCCTCCGGTGCCTTTCCAGGGTCCACCAGCAGCAAGGCTACATGCCGGCAGAGCTCCAGCCCCGAGCCGGCCGTGGTGGCCCTGCTGCCGGGGCCGGGCCGCGTGCCCCTGCGGCCGGGCCCCCACTCGCGCACCAAGACGCGCAAGCCGAACTTCAGCCCGCAGGAGACAGAAGTGCTGGTGCAGAGGGTGACACGCCACTACCCACTGCTGTTCGGGGCGCTGCGTGGCACGCCTGCCCGGAAGCACCGCGTGTGGAGCAAGATCCTGCAGGCTGTGAACGCGCTGGGCTACTGCCGCAGGGACCTGGGCGACCTCAAGCACAAGTGGCGCGACCTGCGTGGGGTGGTGCGCAAGAAACTGGCAGAGTGCCCACGTGCCCCGGCCGAGGGCAGCCCGGCCCCTGGCCTCCTCCTCACACCCGTGGAGCGCATGGTGGCCGAGACCTTCTCAGCCCCGGCACCCCCAGGCGAGAGCCAGGCTGCCGAGCCCCTGCCAAGTAAGTGGGCCCCTCCACAGCCCGTGCCCAGGGCTGCCAGCGTGTGACCAGCAAGAGCAAGACCCTCAGCGGGAGCGCTGGGCGCCGTGAAGACGGCTGTCTCCCACTTGGCCCGTCTGCTTCTAGATGGGGAAACTGAGGCTCAGGGCCAGGGAGGGGCCAGCCCGTCTTGGGAGTGAAGGAGCAGGGCTCAGGTTCTTCCCAGCCCCGAGCTCGGAGTCCTTCTGGGGTCGCCCACAGTTGACACGATGCAGCCAAGGGGCCTGCAGAGACGGCAGGGACCCTCGTTTGTCACAGGAGCCGAAGTCGAGGGGAATCGCCTGAGGGCTCCTCGCCTCCCACAGCCTGAAGGCCGGGGCTTTTCCACCATCACCGCCCCAGCTCAGCTCCCGTCCCTGCCCGCCTCGTGCCTCTGTCCTGGGTGTGGGGAGGGACGGTGACCTCACCTGCCCCCTGACCCCTTCCTGCGCTCTCATCCTGTGGGCCTTTTTCCCCGGGGTCACTCAGCCCCAGAACAGGCCAGGGCATGCTGACCCCTCTCTGAGCCATGGGCCCACCTCCAGGGCCCACCTTTGCCGGAAGATTCTGTGCCTGGTGAGGATGGCATGAGGTGTCCGGCTGGGCCTTCACTGCCGCACACGGCCATCTCTGGTCCCAGCGGCCGTGCTGGCTCGCTCCTGCTGCCGCCTCCTTCAGCGCCTCCTCCTGCCCGCTCCTCCTCCTCCAGATGCCTCTGAATGTCCGGCCAGGAGCGCCCTTCGCCTCTCTTCGGTCTACACGTGTTGGCTCCACCCCCTCCTTGGAGCTGAGCCCCACTGGACCCTGCCTTCCTTGGGAGCTGCTAGAAGGACTTTGGGGCCGAAGCTGGGAGCAGGACCAGCTCCCTCTTGAGGGCCAGCAAGTGGACAGCCTCATGGGGACAAGCAGGCGCCGCAAACATCTCCAACAGATGGCCGCAGCAGAACTTCCAGTGGGCGGAGCTGCATAGAGCAAGCCTGGGCCCGTGGGGAGATGTGTGGACCTGGGATGCGCCATCTGCGGGCTGGCCTTGGTCATGGGCCTGGGTGATGGGAGGGGCGGGGCCTGCCTCTTAGGCTTGCGGGAGGCTCCCCGCTCTCCTACAGCTGGAGCCAGACCTGGTTTTGGGGTGCTGCCAGGCAGAGTGGGCACACTGTGGGCGCCAAGAAGGGGCTGGCACTGCGTGGCACTGGTGTGGCTCTGGGTGCTCAGACCCATCCCACAAGTCCCCTGCCCTGGAGCATGGCAGGAACTTGGTGTCTGTGTTTGTCCCAGCGGTCCCCTGTGCTTGGCTCTGCAAAATCCCTTGTGGTGAGGCCCAGATGTCTCTGCCTGCCCTGGCCCCTTGGCCCCTGGGCTCTTCTCCAACAGGCAGCCAACTGACTGGTCCCTTAGTGCTGTGTGCTCCTCCTGGAAGAGGCCTGGTACAGTCACTGAGGTTTGTTGACTCACTGAGGGAGAGAGAGTGAGATGAGGGCAGGCCTTCCCCTGGCAGAGCTGAGACGAGGGGCAGGGAAATGGCTGCAAAGCCTTATTTGGGGAGGGTAGAGACCACTGCTGGACGCCCAGCCCTGCCAGCTCCTCCCTCTGGATAAGCACTGGCTGGGGCTGGGGCAGGGTCCAGCCTGCAGGGGCATGGCACGGCTGGCTGCTGGGGCTGAGGACAGCCAGTGGACAGTGTGCTGGGCCCTCCACGGGGAGCCTGTGCTCTGAGGCTGCTGAGCAGGCAGCTTTCCCATTTCCCCTGAGGCCCCGTGCTGGCCATGACTTGGGGTGCACACGCCTGCTCTCTGCACGTTTGGGGAAGCAGTGCTGAAGGGGGTTGTCTTTGGCCCCCGGAGGCCTGACCCAGAGCCCGAGTGCCCCGTAGCCCCCCGGCGCAGAGCCTCTCCGGGGCAGCTTCCTCTGAGCACCCCCTGCACCAAGACTGGGGTGAGCTGGGGGCCTGTGGCCCTGCAGGGCTGCCCCCAGCCGGCCGATGAGGCAGCACGGTGCCGCAGGACACGTGGTGGGTGCTGTGGAAGGAGGGAGCTGGCTGAGAGCCGGGGTCTGCTTGTGCGGTGTCCCAGGGTAGAGCTGCGTCTCATCTGGGAAGTGCTGTGCGGGCTAAGAGCACCCACAGCGCAGCACTGGGCCTGCAGCCTGTGCACCGAGCCCTGGGGCCCCAGGACGTTTATTCTCTGGTCTGAGGGGGGGCCTCGGCTGCAGGAATCACTCGCGAGTCTGGGCAGTATGTTACTGTCAGAGTCGGCCTCTGAGTGTCCCCAGGGCCCCAGCTTGGTGCAGACCAGGATTGGGCTTTGTCCAAGACTGAGGGCAGGTCCCAGCACAGCCCGGGCTGTGTAGTCACGGGGCAGAGAAGAGGCCCAACCGGGAGTGTGGCGTCCAGTGCCCGACACTGCCCCGGACACTGCTGTCTTCTGTGCCCGGGACAGCTTTTCTTCTCTCTGCTTCCAGCTCCTCCCATGACAGGAGCAAGGCCAGGCTGCTGCTGCTGGGGTCTGGGGGTGCAAGGTGGCTCGTTTGCACGTGAGCAGGGCAGTGGCAGGGGCAGGGACAGGGACCTGGGTGGACGCCTCCTCCCTGCAGGGCTGTTCCTGCCGCAGTGGCGGCTGTGGACAGATGACCCAGACTTCTGGTCCTGCCTCCCTTACCCACTCTCTTCCCTGCTGGTTGCAGAGGGCAGCGGCCCTTGATATGACAGGACCATGGAGAGTTCTGTTCTTCTGGTGGGGGGTGGTGCTGCACATGTGAGAGGAGCAGGGGTGCCCTGGCGTGAGGAGGGGGCTCAGACCCGTTGCCCACATCCTGCCTCTCCTTCTGATGGGGTTCCCCATGGAGGGGCCTGGGCCTCCTCACCCTGTAGTCAGGTGGGGCTGGAGGGAGCCCCAGGTGGACGCCCCGTTGGAGCACACCCACCGGGCTGAAGGGATGCTGTGCCTGGGCAGCGCCTGTGTTTATGGGGACCTTCTCTGCCTCAGGCCTCAGGCTCCTGCGACCTTCTCCGCTCTGGTGGTGCCCAGGTGCGCAGCCCCCCGAGGGGATGTACGAATCGAAGTGAGCTATTTCTGCCTCCAAGTCTCACCAAAATGTGTGAATATGGAGGCTTGTCTCTCCTCCTCTTTGAGACATTAACTGAATGCGCGTTTGCATCTGACCCGTCTGCCAGCAGTCGCAGCACTGGTCTCTGCTGGGGGCAGGCTTCTTGGGCCCCAGTTTGTCGTCTGGGCAGCGTCGAGGTCCTTCCTGTGGGTAGATGAGGGAGCAGCATAGAGTCGCCCGGCGGCCTCACCTGGATTAAAACCCAGTTCCTACTGTGGCCGCATGCGCCATCTTAACTCCCTGCTGCCCACAGCCTGGCCGTGCGCTCACAGCGCAGCTCGGACGGGTTTGGTGCGTGTTCTATGCGGCGCTGAGCAGAATCCTCTGATTTCCTGGGGGCGTCCTGGGGCCTCGTCAGGGCAGCTCAGCTGTGCTGCTGGTGTGACGTCTCGGGGGCCTGTTGACACCCTCTGCAGGTCCTGCCTGAAGTCCCTGGTCCCACTCAGCCCCACGCCGTGGTTAGAAGCAGCTGGTCAGTGCTCGAGGCCGCGGGCCGGTGCGTGCTGGTGCCCAGTGCCCTGTGCGTGGAGAAAGATGTTCACAGACCCGATCATGGCCATCCTCGTGGCAGCTCTATAAGATGCGCGGAGACGAGGCCCAGCCGCTTTTCAGAGGCCGTGGCCAGGGTGGGGGCCCCCGAGGCTGCAGAGGCGTAGCGGAGCCCGGCATCTGCCCCTCTATGAGTGAGCTGCGCCTGCCGTGAGGGGCACTGCCAGGCCCTCCATCCTGGCGGCTCCTGCCAGCCAGGGCCCACACCAGGCGAGCTGCCCAGCACCCCCTGCAGCCTCTGCTTCTCGGGAGGCCAGTGAGCACCCAGGGCAGATTCCCGCCCCTGGGCCTCGGCTCCCCTGGGGTGTCCTCAGGGTCTCCACTCTGTAATTGCTTCTGTTGTCTTGATTTGCAGATAGTATTGAAGCCAGCCTTGAGGCTGCGTCCTCGCACGCAGAGGCAGCCAGCGAGCTCCTGGCTGGGGCCAGCCGGCACCAAGTAAGTCAGTGTGAGGGGCCAGCCCGCAGCCCCCTCTGTCCCTGTCCCCCTGGGAGGCCCAGGCCCTGCCTGCCCTTGGGAGGGGCACGCCCACAGGGTCTTCTGTGAGCCAAGTGGACTGGTGTGGGGGAGGGGAGAGGTAGGGGCACCGGGGTCTGCGCCCAAGGTGGTCTGCACCTCCTGCTAGAGAGTGGCCAGGGCCTTTACCCAGCTGGCCCAGCAGAAGCTAGAGGGCAGGGCGTGAGTTGAGAGCATGAGCAGGGCCTGTGTGGTGGGTCTCCCTGCAGTGGGCGCCGAGCGTGGCTCTGGTTCCCCAGGAGTGTGCTGCACGCTCGCTGAGCTGCCCCCACAGAAAGCTCTGTGGCTTGTCCCTTTTTCTCAGAGGGAGAGCTGGGTCTGTCGGAGTCTATCACCTTCCTGGAGGACGCTAGCCATGGAGAGGGCTCCGCTGACCCTCCCACTCCTCCACCTGCTGCCTAGGCACCTGTGTGGCTAGGCATCTGGCCCAGGCCTGGCTGGGGGCTAGGAGGGGTCTTCCTTGCTTGGAGGGAGCAGAACTTGGCCTGGGACACAAGGGCTGGCTCAGGGGGATTGAGGACAAATGTCAGACTTTTATTTGCTTCAGATGGGGCTTACAGCAGCCTTGGGGACCAACTGCCGGGCAGTCCTTGTGACTTTGCTGACGCGCGGCCTCCATGTGAGCACATGACTGGGCCAGGCAGGCTTGGGCCTTGTCCATCTGAGAGGGGGGTCTGGCAGCTGTGCTCCGCCCGCTCCCTCAGTCACTCTGGTCCTGCGCTCCATGCTGGGCTCTGACATGCAGAAGTGGACCCCGCAGAGCCTGTCCCTTGAGGAGCAGCATCCCAGGGGTGGGCAGGGTGGGTGGTCCAGTCCAGCATCACGAGGGCCCTGGGCCAGTGGGGCAGGGAGGGCTTCCTGGGGGAGCACGCGTTCCATCTTGAAGGCAAAGCAGGAGTTGTACTGGCGGGGGGACAGCGTGCGCAGAGGCCAAAGGAAGGGCCGCCCGGGCAAGCTCAGGACACCGCAGGCCGGATTGTGGACAGCTGTGTGGGGGCCGTGCCAGTAGGAGCGGGGAGGGGGCACTGGGGAGAGGCAGGTGGATGATGCCCTCGTTCCCTGGGGGCTCTAGGAAGTCGAAGCTGTGCTTGGAAAGGGGCCTCTGATTGCCTTAGAGGGGAGGAGAGCGGAGGGGGCGACACTGTGGACCACTACAGGGACATGGGCAGGAGCGGCCCCTCCCAACGCCCCTCCCCTGCCTGGGGACCCCAGCTGGGGCAGGCCACACGCAGGACGGGCGGCTGCAAGACCCCAGGCCTGTGCTCCCCGAGAGTGCGGTGAGCGTGCAGTGCGGGTGTAAGGGTGGAGGCTGGGCCCCCGCTGGCCTCCCCTTTCCTCTGTCAGTGGCCATCAGACTCAGAAGTCAGGTGACCAAGGGTGACCACACAGACAGCTGGTGAACGCTGTACCAGGTTAGGAAACGGGCTGCGCCGGGGTCTCCCTGCAGGGTGGGAGCAGAGGCAGGGCTGGAGGTTGTGTGTACTGATGCCAGCTCGGGGCTCTGTCCCAACTCACGGCCTGCCACCTTCCATTATGCGGAGGGCACCCAGGCCCTCTACCTGGGACCTCTCCACCAGGCTTGGTCCGTCCAGGCCTCCTGGAGTAGAAGGCACAGGCTGCGACTGACAAGCAAGGTGGACTTGTTGGAAGCCCAGGACCAGCCTCTCTCTAACGGGAACTCTCCTGAGTGGTGGCGCCTGCCAGGGGCCCTCACCACCAGAAAGCCTCATCTCGAGAGGGAAGCAACAAGCCAGCAGGGCAGCTCCTGCTAGGAGGACCCAGGGACCACCAAGTCAGAAGGATCTGCAGATGCCTGAACTTTGGAAGGAAGATGTGACAGTGAGGAGGAGGAGGAGGAGGAGGAAGAAGAGAAGCAGGAGGAGGAGCAGGAGGAGGAGGAGGCAGCACGGGCAGCCCCTGTGCCCATGGACACCTCATCAGGCTCAGACCCCCTGACCTGCCCCATTCCCAGGGAGCTGGTGGGCCCTCTGGGGTGCTGCTGTCGTCCCCCTATTTCCAGTGCAAAGCGGGAACCCCTGCGCCGTAGGTGAGGTGAGTGGGCTCAGACCCAGGAGGTACAGGAAAAGTTGCTGCCACACAGTAATGTCTTCGTGCTCCCCCTACTTCCAGACAGCATGTCGGGGGGTGTCCAGCGAGACAGGGCATCCCCATGCCCGTGTTGCAGGCCCAGTTAGTTTTCCCTGGGACCTTTATTGACTCATCCTCCACGCCTAGACAATTGCAAGGGTTAAGGATCCCTACAGCCAGGCCTTTTACGTGCAGATTGGGGATTTGAGGCCCAAAGAAGAGAAGAGAACGGTTTTCCCAAGGTTACGTAGCTAGCAGGAGGTGGAGATGGTTTTGGAGCCCAGTCTGTAGGATTCCACGTCCAGGGCTTTTCCTGCTCCCCTGGGAAAGTTCTGCTTTCATATCCACCCCTCATGCTTCTGGGACATCTGCTTGATGGATGGGTGGATGCACAGACAGACAGATGGACAGGTGGATGGGTGGAGGGACTGAGAGATTGAAAGAGTATTACAGGCATTACAGGTGGATGAATGGGTGAGTGGATGGATGGATGAACAGGTGTGGGTAAATGGTTGAAAGAATGGATCAAGGATGGATAGATGATGGATGGATGGATGGAAGGACAAATGTATACCTTGGGCAGTTGGATAGGTGAGTGGATAGATGGATGGATGGACAGAGGCATGGGTGAATAGGTGGATGGATGGATGATAGATGGGTGAATGATGGATGGATGGATGGATGGATGGATGAACAGAAGTGTGGGTAAATGGATGAAAGAATGGATCAAGGATGGATAGATGATGGATGGATGGATGGATGGAAGGACCAATATATACCTGGGTGGGTGGATGGGTGAGTGGATGGATGGATGGATGGACAGAGGCATGGGTGAATAGGTGGATGGATGGATGATAGATGGGTGAATGATGGATGGATGGATGGATGGATGAACAGAGGTGTGGGTAAATGGATGAAAGAATGGATCAAGGATGGATAGATGATGGATGGATGGATGGAAGG